ATCATAAAAGGAACTATTTCTGCTCAAAATATTATTAATATTAATCATAGAGATATATGATCAAAAAATCAACTTGTTTTCTATATGAGGTATACACTATATAAAGATTATTTTAAGAACTTTTCACCAAAGATAACTGTGTCTTGAACCCTTTTTCCTGTCCTTCTCATATTGTCATCTATTTCACTTATTTACTGCGGTTACGTTCCACTGTGCCATGCCTTTTTGGTTTGGCTTAAATACAGACGGCAAAGCAAGCCACAAAATATAGGTGAAAGCTTTGCCTGTAGCGCAACAGCTGATGTTGGTTTGTGTCCCGGCTAAAATGATCAGTTATAGCAGACAGTTTGGTGGCGGCTGTCAAATTATATCTTCAAATGGTGTATGTCTCGAATAATTGATCTTATACTCAACTTCTGCTACAGTCTAACTTTGAGAGCAATTGGGTTGCGAGCAAAGCTTTGATTTTTAGCTGATATTACAGACAATATTGTGAAGAGCGAAATAGTGCAAATATGACTAATAACTGTTGTTAAAATGCTATAAGCATTATTTTTAAATCTATCTATATATCTATCTATAACTGCATTTTTACTATCAGGGACTTTCTAATAAATATTAGAAATTAAGATCAATTAGTTAAAAGTAGCCTAGACAATGAAAGAATTATAAACTTTTTCCTTCAATTGGTAAATTCTGTAATTGACATTCACAGCACATTCAAATCTCTCATTTTATTAATTAAATTTCTTTTCAAAAATCTATCGCTGTCTCTTTCTCTTTGAGATATGTACTCTATATTTTATCAAAAGATCTCCAAAATGTCATTTGGTTTGTTTTGTCAGGTTTGGTCAACTTGGATGAAGTTTTCTTGGTGTTTGTTTCCTTTTGCCTTGACTTGGTTTCTGTACAAGTTGCACTTACACTTTTCTCATTAGGCACAGGCCAGTACACACACACACACGCACACGCGCACACATACGCACACTGGCCCATTGTTCCGGGACAGCAGTACAACACAAATTGTTATGATAAAAGTTTTTATCAAGTTTTCATTTTATTTTCGAAAGATGTGTTTCTTTCCCTCTCTCTCTTCTTCTCTTTTTTTTTCGTCGTCTTGCAACGTTGATATAGCATATAAGATAAAATGGCATACAGATGAGAGAGAGAGAGAGTGAGAGAGAGTGTGTAGCTTAGGAGTAGAGTTGAGACAAGTCAAGTAACTGGGCAGCTGAATGCAAAAACAATGCCTCGGGGGCGGCGCTGCCTCATAAAATTTTAACTACTTGCAAAAATACTGCTAACTGGTAAACTTTAAGCCAAAAATCATTAAGTCTGCAGCCTGGACAGCCACTAAAAGAGTTTCCACTTGCCAAGCACCAAGAAATCCAGAGAGACGGAAAGAGACAGCAAATGAGTGTAAGGAGTTAGTGTGAAAGTGAGAGAGAGTAAGAAAATTGAGCTTCACTTCTGTTTTTTTTTTTTTTTTTTGCCAACAAATTTGTTGCATAGCCATTTTGTGGTTCTTCCGGGCGGGATTGAGTTTCAGCAACATCCTTCAGTATATGGAACTTTGCCTCTACACGCTACACTCGACTCTCTACTCTATTGCTTGGCATTGTCATTATGACTGGACCTTGGAGACACTATCAACAGAGATGACAGTGGGGATAATGGGAGAGAGAAGAAGAGAGGCTGAGTGGGAGAGGGGG